TAGATTAACGTAGCTACTGCATCTTCTTGATTTGTGTATGTTTTTATACTATTTAAAATTTCTAATTTATCTTGTTCTGTACAAAAATTATCCCACCAGCCTTTCACTTGACCAGTAAATCCTTGTATTATTGCTATAGCGGCAGACTTGTCACTACATCCTTTAGATTTATGGGTGGTAGCCGCCATGGTCATTTGACAGAGTTAAATCTAATATTGTTTGTTCACTTAATCCATCTAAATTCCATTCAGCTTATATCATTTCCTGAAAAAGAATTTTGAACTAATTCTCCCTTTCCTCAAACCGTACATCAAGCAAATCTGGGTCTAAAATAATAATTTCTAAGTTTTGGATATGTTCTCATTTTGTTTACTTCTATCGTATTTATAGAAGTATTTCCTATTTGTTTTATTTTCTTTTTTAATTATTCTATTTGTATATCTATATTACTTTTTAATCTTAATGAATCTCATTCTTTTTGTGGTACATTAAACAATTTATATATTGGCTTTATAGGTTCTTTTGAACTACCTGGTATATCTTTTAAAGGTTTATTTTCTATTCCAGTTAGTTGTTTTGACATAACTTCTAAAACTGTGTTAGAATAATTAAGCTGAGAATGTAATTTTTTTATATCTTTTATTTGTACCGATTTTTCCTCACTTTTAACATCTTTATAAGGACTTGCTTCAATTTCTAGATCTTTAGTGGGTTTTATTACAATTCGCTGTTGTGGAGGATACTCTGCTATTTTTAGTTCATTCTTAATAGTTTTCCAGGTATTTGATATTTTTTTCTAAAGGATATATATATGTTTTTCTTGACTGTAGTTAAAAAACCAATCAAAAAAATATTAGTTTATTTCATGTTGTTTTAAATAGTCATAAATTTTTTTCCTAAACTCTTCTATTTGTTGTTTTGTAAAGGTTTTAAAATACCATTCCCTATTTTCTTTATTATATCCTGCTTCAAAATCTTGTCTAATCCAATTTTTATCTATACAAAAGGATGCTTCTTTACCTACAGTATTTAATATTTGTGAAGCGGTTGGAGAGTATTGAGGAGATTTTGTTCCCCTTGAGTCTTCATATATGGGCTTTGTAACTCTAGGTGTAATATTGTTCAATCCTCTCAAATTTAAATTTATTGTCGATCCGTCAACGTAATGTCTTGAAGTTTGTCCTTTATATATCATTTGAGGTTCTTTATTTTTAAAGGATAATGATCTATTCATTCTTAATCTAATATCAGTACCATCTTGAATTATTTCTCTAATTTGAGTATTATATACTTTGGGTTCTTCTATAATATCTTCTAATTTCCATTCCTCCAGAATTTTATTTATTACCTCTTCATGACTTAATCTTTTTGGAATTTGTACTGATAACTTTCTAAGATTGACTTCTACTAATATGGTTTCATCTTTTGGTGAAGATCTTAAAGCTTTATAATTATAATCTATTCTGGTTACTTTGTAATAAATTCTATAAATTATTTGTATTGGACCAGATTCTTCATCTACAATTTCTTTAGGGATTTGGACATATAATTTTATAGCATTACTGGTCTTATCATTTCTAATATTCATCGAAAAGTTTGGATAACAGTTAAAAAAAAATAGGTCCATCATGTAAATTACTTTCTAATATTGCAATTATTGAATCATTAAACTTTTTAAGTCTTATATCTCTTAATAGCATTAATATTGGACTATTTAACCTATTCTATAGTTTGGTTTTGCTGCAACTTGTATTATTCCTCGATGAATAAAATTATATCCATCTTTTATATGTTGATCTAGAATTGATTGTTCTAAAATATTTATAATCTTATTATTTTTTGTTCCTGGGTAGCTATATTCTACTATATTTATTTCATCTAAATTTGTTGACCAAAATTTATGCTGTTTATAAACTTCACATTTTCTTACTATAGGTATTGACCAATTATGTAAAGAATTTTCAATTTCAGCTATTTGTAATTCTTTATCTTTATTATCTATATAAGACGAAGAAGACGAAGCTTCTTGTTGCGGTGTTTTAACTATTATTTGTTTATCTTTGTTTCTTAATCTTAAATCGCTTAGAGTTCTAAGGAGATTTGACATTCTCACTCTTTCTCTGGTTTCCATGCTACGGGACCACCTCTTTGCCTTTTCGATATCTGGTTGACCAACGGTCTCACTACCCCTCCTGGGTTTTACTGCCGGGACCACTAGACCTAAGGGCTGACCAACGTATGAGCACCTCTCAGTGCTACACGGATTCCTTCAAAGAGTTAAGAGGTCCAAAGACCCTTTAAACTCAAGGATTTAGGGTTAAGATACAAATCTAAACACCTAATAACTTAAACTAAGCAACAAAGTGACTTAGTTTCTTCAATTTTTCTTCTAGATGTTTAATATTACTCTTGTACCAAATTATTCCCAATTATAATCGTTTCTATTTTCTCTCAAAAATATTTCTTTCTGAGATATATGTTTGGCTAATTTTTTTTTATATTTCTTAATTTTGTTTGATATTTCTATTGCTGGGTTTGGGTTAGTGATAGCTCTTACTCTAGGAGGGATTAACCATACAATACCAAGGAATCCTATTACTGGAATTTCGTTATCCATATTCTACCCCCCACAAGAAAACCAAATATGATTCATATTTCAAAGCACTATGGCATACCAACTCTTACGGATCGCTTACTCTTTCAATTTCTAAATATTAAAACATGCAATTAGATGAAAAGAAGAAAACTAAATAAAGAACTCTTGAAAAGAAGACTTACAAATATGGCGAAGAAGATGAAGAAAACTGGAAACTTCATTAAATATAAATATAACATAAATATAATATAAATATAATATAAATATATTTGTATATAAATATAATTTATTTGTAAATTATTATCAAAAAATTCTAGTAGTTAAGTGGTTGGAATATCAGCCTCTAACTCTAAGATACTCTGGTCGAATCTTGTTAATAATTCTTTCAATTTGATTAAGGACTGCATGTAACTTTTAAGTATAGAGTAAACTAATATAAATTGTAGTGTGGATTCGAATCTTGTTAATAATTCTTTCAATTTGATTAAGGACTGTATGTAACTTTTAAGTATAGAGTAAACTAATATAAGTTGTAGTGTTCTTTCTTTTCTCTTCTCTTAACTCTTGCTCATTATTGTATTGATGTTTGCATGCTCTAAATATTTGTAAAGTCGTGGAGTGGCAATATTTGTAAAGTCGTGGAGTGGCAGGCAAGATCCATGGTCCTAAAAAGAAAAAATTCCTTTAAAATTTTATTAAAGAAATATGTTATGATCTCCTTAAAAAGTTATTTATTTGGATCACTAAAACTAATTTTTTGATTATAATTCTAAATTTATCACCACTTAAATTCAATTATTTTTTCTAACATAATTGACATAAAAATATCATAATAAAAAGTCTTTCTCAGTCCCTAGAAACAAAAAATTATAAAAAAATAAAAAGAAATAAAAAATAATAAAAATCAAATAAACTATTTAATCATTATCAAATAACTGGATATAGAAGACTATCATAAAATGTTTTTAAGTAGTGAAAGGTTAGAAACTAAAATCCCATTATATATTAATCTTAAATCGTAATTATAAATTATTTTACAATAAATAAATATAACGTAAATGTTTAACAATAAATAAATAAATAAAACCTATGGTGTATTTGTTTAGCAAATAAATTTGAAAATGTAGACCTTTTATTTTATTGTGAGCAATAAAAATTAGTTTTTTTTAATGTGCGCTCCAATATCAAAATGACCAAATTATAAATTAAATCCATATATATTATTATTATTATTATTATTATTATTATTACTATTATTATTATTATTATTATTATTATTATTATTATTATTATTATTATTATTATTATTATTATTATTATTATTACAATAAGAATATAACTGCGGCGTTCATTTGGTAGTTTAAAGATCTTCAATATTATTGTTAAAAATTACGGATCATCTTACATTTAAAAATATATATTTTACATCAATTATTTTAACAAAATTTACATACTTTTTAATCATTAACGGAATAAAAATTTAAAATTATATTAAATTTCATTACTTTAAAAAAGATTTTTTATATTAGTTAAAATAGATTCTCTGTATCAGATGCGACATAAATACAAAAATTATAAAAAATAAAACTTTTTATATCAATTATTATTATGAATCGATATAAAAAATAATAAGTTTTTGAGAATTTTCAAGATATCTAGTACCTTAGAACTCTAATCATAAAAATGATGTCGCACATTATTCAAGCTGTTCATTTGTGTTAGTATAGATCACAGTTAAACTGAAGCATGCTCCATTAAATTCATCAACACATACAATTATATTCAAATTTAGCCATTACAATACCCACCAAAATTAATAAAAGGGAGTCAGGTAATTTCTCAAAAAGTGACTACAATACTACATGGAATATTTATATATATCTATTTGTAGTTGAATATGTAATAAGCATATTGCCCTACCAAAATCAATCCTGCATCTCTTTGATTGAATTGAAAGGCAAGAATAGTCGTCAACACTGTTTCACCGATGAACGTCAACCTCACAATCCTTCAAAAACTATAAAAATCCATCCAAAGAATCGCTCACCCCCTTCCACTCTCTTTGTTTTTCTTTTTCATTTTTGTATTTAGTTTTTTTTCCCCCATATTGGTTAATTTTTGTACTTTTCAAGCTAGAACTAGCTTCACCAAGCCACACATTATTGGAATCCCACCTCAACCAAGACACGTACCTTTGTCACTTGCCATACAAATGAAGAGTCTCCAAGTGGGTGACGTGTGAACTAACTTCCCACCCATTGCATTGCTTTTTTTCACCCACCACTCTCCAAAATCTTCTTTCCACACAAAAAGATTACAATTTAGAAACTATACGAACAACACCACAGCTAGCACACAGAATCACCAAAACAGCCACAACACAAACACTCTAATCTTCTTTGCCATGTCCGTTTTCTGCATGAAAAAGAAAACCGTTCTAATGTCTCACCAACCCTCTTACTCTACTGAGTCTTATAAACAGATTCCTCCTCCTCAGCCATCAAAATTGAAGAAACCCCACAACACCAAAGACAGGAAAATGGGCCATGAACACCGAGATATCAGTGATAAAGCTTCAAAACCCCACCACAACAAGGTGGAAACTGCAATGGAAAATGTTACGGAAGGAAAAGTTGTTGAACGTGAAGATAGTGGACGTGAGAGGTTGAAGAGGCACAGAGTTGAAGTTGCTGGGAGAGTCTGGATTCCTGACATATGGGGACAAGAGGATCTCTTGAAGAATTGGATAGATTGCACAGAATTTGATGCTCCTTTGGTTCCAAGCAGAATAGTGATGGCACGAACGGCTTTGGTGGAAGAAGGTCGAAGGGCCACATCGGGTGGGTTAAGAATCAAGAACAGCTGTTGAATTCTTGGTTTATATGAGTGGATTATTCAGTTCATTCAGTAACAAGAACCATGTGTTGTTATTGGTTATGGTATGAATGTTTTGTTAATCCATGATCTTTTATATTATCCGTTTTGTTTTGGATATGTAAGCATTATTATTACCTCCTGCGTTGTTTTATTGTGGAAGTGTTTGATATATGCATTACAAAAAAGTTAAAATTTTAAAGTGACCTCCAAAATCTAGAACCTGAAACGGGAGTGTAAAAGCCATTAGTTCAATTAATTATATATCTTTAGCTTCTACTAATTTCACTACAAGAAAAAACGCTATTAGTGACCAAAAAAATCGATCGCTATTCTGTTAGCGACCGAAATTAGCGACCGAAATGGTTGGTCGCCAAAGGGCAAGTCGCTAATTTGTTAGCGACCGATTTACATTTCGGTCGCTAAATAGCGACCGATAAGGTGGTCGCTAAATAATTTGGTTACTTATTCATTGAAGACCAAAATAGCGACCGAAATTAATATAATAAATCGGTCACTAAATCGATCGCTAAATCAGTGGTAAAGTTTTAAAAAATAGCGACCAATATATTCTGGTCGCTAATATATTAATATAATTATGTAAATAATAATTAAAATCGATCGCTAAATCGAGTCACAAAAATAGCTGAGTAAATCAATATAGTAAATCGGTACGCTAAATTAGAGACAAAGTTAAAAATAATAACGACGGATATAATCGATCGCTAATACATTAATTGAATTATTTAAATAATAATTTAAATCGGTCACTAAATTGGTCAGCTAAAATTGAATTGTATATTATAATAAATTTGTAGCGACCAAAAATTCGATCGCTAATCTAACCAAATCTGAAAATTTTCGTTTAAAATTTTGTATATCCAATTTTACAAAATTTGTACTCGCTTAATTCATCCAAACGAACACAAATGAAAACTTAAGAATTAAAGTCAAATTATTCAAATCATAATAAGAACAATTCAAAGTCATAACGATAAATAAAATGTTTCTAAACAACTACTCAAGATTCAAAATCTTAATATCATAAAATTGAAAATTAGTCCTCTGGTATATTGTCAGTGTCATGTTGACTTGTAGTAGGATGACTATTCATTTGAATATGTTGTAAAATCAGCTTCATCTGCTTATCTTGTTGGTGTTGGTTGTTCCTCAACTTCTGCATCTCTTCTTGAAGTGTCTTTTCCTTATTATGCTTTGCCACCAATTCAGCATTTAACTTTTCAATAGTCTCACGCATTTGTTCAATTTGATGAAGTACTGGAGTTTGAGTAATAGAAGATTGAGAACCTGATGTAGTAGTGAACTTTTTGCTCAATGTACCAAGTCCATACACATTTCCTTTTTTATTTTCACCTCCAACAACTGAAATGTATATTTCATTATCATCAATAGAGACAATAGGAGACTCTTGTGAAGATGAGCCTTCACGCAAGTTATGTTGATGGACTTCTTCTCTAGCGTTGCATATATTGTTCCTAAAAATGAAGTGAAATATAATTATTATGAAGAAAACATATATTGAATAATAAACTATAACTTAGATGTTAAACATACAAAGAAGATAACGAGTTTTTCATTGACCCATTGTCTAGTCTTTAATTTCTTTGTCCTCTCAACAACCTCCCAAACGGTTGGTTCCGTTGAAACTCCAGTAGTCTACACATTAAAATGAGACAAAATTCATTACCTAAAGTGTAATATATTGTATTAAATTACTTATATAAAAATATAATAAACTTGCCATCTTCTCAAAGTGAGCTACAGTAGATATGGAACCCCCACGATAGGCTGAGGCACCCTTATCAACAACTCGATTAGCCTTGGCAATGACACTCTTGTTTTGGAAATCTGGAGAACTCCAATGTAAGTCCAAAGATGCTCGAACAGATGGCGGTATCCAGATTCCCGTATCCTTACCATTCCTAACTTTGTTCATTGAGTTTTTTAAAATTCGAGAACCTTTCTTATCAAAAACAGATCTTATGGCTTGCTCTTGTTCCACATCCCATATATACTCTTTCTGCATAAATAAAATACACAACAAACATTTAATTTATAAGAATGAAATAACATTGTTTAATGTAACTATAATTCAAATTACCTTGAACTCTCCAAACCATCTATCTCGAAGCTCAAGTGAAACCTTTCTCCAAGTGGGACTTGGTTCATCAAATTTTTGTTTGATGATTCTAGAGATTATAGCAGGAGGACCATTTGTTGGTATAAACCCGTGTTGAAACATATTGTGGGATTGATATTATTAAGAAATTTCATATTAAAGAATTATAATTAAATTAAAACATACTTACTCTCCTTTGTCCGCTTGTAACCATGGCCTTTGATCAACCATATTTCCGCACTCAACCTCGGTTGCAATCGACCCAGGTACTGTGTAGGTTGACCAAATGTCGCCTCGAGAGAAGGTAGTAGGAATTGTTTCTCCTACTATAGCTACAGGAGATTCCTGCCGAGTTGAGGGAGGTGTGCATTCTACAAACATAGGATTAGTAGACTCCATGGATCTTGGTCGAACAGTAACTAGGAGAGTTAGGGTCGGGTGAACCTCTATCATCAATAAGTACACCTCGACCACCACGATGAGGTGGTCTACGACCACCACTTCTACCCCTTTGTGGCATCTACAAGCGGATCTTATTACATATGTAACATGGATAAAATTAAACAATTGAAACAATGAATTACCCGATTTTGTTTTCTACACCCAAACGTGTCGGTTAGCTTACCACTCATTCACCGCAAATAATTAAATCATAATCATATCAATATATATATATATATATATATATGTATATATATGCAATATTAAATAAAGGTGTACAATCAAATTTAACAATTGTAAAAATAATTTTAATGCATGAATTACCGAAGTATTCGTATCATCAAAATCACTCTCGGTCTCATCCTCACTTGAAATATATTCATCCTCATCTTCATCTATATTTCTTTCATTTAGTAATTGTATATCTATTTCTTCTCCCCCACCATTAACATCGACAAGGGAATCATCAATGAAGTTAGGATCAACACGAAGCACTACTTCAAGTCCTACAAGCTCATCATCTTGGTATGGAGTCTCATGCTCAACTTGATCGACTATATTATCAATGATTCTACTACGAGATTTTGTCTTTATTACACCCAACCAACCTCGGTGTCCCTCTGGATAACTTGTGTAATAAACTTGTTCTGCTTGTTGTGCAAATATGAAAGGATCATATGCTTTATTATATCTTCGTGATTGCTTTACTTCCACGATTCCATACTTATTATCTACTTTGGTTCCTATATTAAGAGTATTGTCAAACCATTCACACTGAAAGAGAACTAAATTCATCAATGGCAAACCAGTATACTCTAATTGAATAATATTATACAATAATCCATAAAAATCTGACTCTAATTGACCATTGGTTCCTCGTACATAAACACCATAGTTACAGGAATTCATGCCTTCACTCCAAACAATAGTGTGGAATTTGTATCCATTGATAACATACATAGGCCATGATTCAACTTTTCTCTTGGGACCCCATGCCAAATTAACCAATAATGGATCTTCAATATTATTTTATGGATTTAGAACCTAAAGACAGCAAAGTCCTTTACACATTAGACTATGTAAGTCAGAATAAATTGTAGACCCCTAATCTTGCCTGGTCTCTCAATAAAGGCTAAGGAGACTTCCTACAACAAGATAAAGCTCGCCTGGCATCTCAATAAAGGCCAAGAAGACTTCCTATATGAAGATAAAGCTTCAACGGGCGTCTATCGGCATCAACCGACGTCCGAATAAAGAAAGGAAAGCTTCCCAGGGGTCCCAGAACACAAAAATTGGTCAAAACAGGTTGAGACCACCGTCCCAAATGTGAGACGGCCGTCCCAAGTTACCCTGGCCAAGTGGGACGGCCGTCCCAAGTGAGACTGCCAGTCCCACCTTTCAGGGGGTCCCAGCATGTGTAAAAAATTCAGTTGGGAAGGCCGTCCCAACCCAGAGGGGCGTCCCAAAATGTCAGGTTGCGAAAAACTATAAATAGGAGGCTCATTTGCCACTGTTTCAGACACCAGACAACTCCCAGTACTTGTCTTTTCTTTCCCTACTTCGAATGAACTCTCTGATTGCCTTAATAAGGTAACAATCAGTTAAGGAATCATATTCCAGCATTCGATTCTTCTGTAAAATTTAGTGAGTCAGTGTTGTATTCGGAGAGGAGGGTCTTTGTAGAGCGAAGGATTGCCAAAACGCATCCTTACGATTAAAGATTCGTAATACAAAGCTTGCTACGGAGGTTCTGTTCAATTCTCTTCTCTTTTACTGCTTTATTTATTGCTGTCTATATGCAATGTAAACTAAAATCATGTAGATAGCCATTTTTAATATTATGCAATAAAATAGGGTAATCGCGTAATTTCTCGTAATCTTTACTTAAATGAATTAATCCATAATAGGGAACCCGAAAGGGGCGTTGTGGGGTGCTAACACCTTCCCCACACGTAACTAACTCCCTTACCTAACTCTGGTTATAATGGCCAAGTTTGGTTTTTATTAAAATCAACGCGTTTTTATCCTTTTCCAATGTTTACGGTCAAAACATTGGTGGCGACTCCAAAAGAACCCTTTTTCGAAAACCTTCCTTTTATTAGAGGATAGTTCAGTTGTTGAGCACCTCGGAAGCAATGAACATAATTTTAACATAAAACGCGAGTCTAAACCATCTTTTCGCGACCGCTCGCATAAACGTTCGAGATGTCCCTGGACGTCGGAACGGACGGCGGCGACATAAATATTTGTAAGACATATAAGTCAAAAACTTACATATTTTTTAAACAATTTAGGAAAATGGGATGAAATGTCTTGGTCAATTTGGGCACCAGAAATACTAGGATTTAGTTGTCTTAAATATTCAATATAAATACTGCAAACACGTAACAAATTACTCAAACCACACAAAGTAA